AATTACCATCTCCATTCACATTAATTACCTTTTTTATGTGTTCATGCATATAGGTAGGTATTTGGTCATGATATAAAGCTGCTGTGATTTTGGTAAATCAGTTGTAAATTTTGGTGTATTTTTCTCTTTTTTTTAGCAGCCTTATCTTGTAGTTCGCTACGAAGAAGATTTCATTTGGTAGAAGCTGGTCATCTTATATTTCAGTACATACTGGTGCTTTTGGAATTACAATTTCTTCAGCAATAAGTGCTTTGATTTTATGTAACAATGAAGCTTTAGACCTACTATCATTTAAATTTGTATATTTTTCTTTAAGCATATACAAAGCCTTATTAAAAGCTGTATCAGTTGACAAAGATGAAGGTAATAAAGGTACAGAATTATGTTTTAGAAGCCAGAGGGGGTGGATAATTGAAAGTGAGATGGGCCCTGTTGATGGAATTATGTGACGACATAGTAGTTTGAAATTTAGTCTCAAGCTACAGTTGCAAACACTATTATTTGTATTATTATAATTTTCTTGAGCCTCACATATTTCTTTTTTTATTCAATCAATTGCCCATCTAGAAATTTTTCTGACCAACTGTTCAAATTTCGTATTATTAAGTATAAACAGATTAGCTGAAATTATATTTAGACCTAAAGCTTCATTTTTTTGTAGTTGATGTTGACGAAAGACACGATCAATATATGAAAATACCTGATCTAGCCCGCTTGCTGCCTCAATTGCTTTTTTTAAACTGCTATGGCTTCCTTCTGCTCATTGTGTTGATTGGACTCCTATATGAGGATAATGTTTTGTATAAACATGCATCCAATATTCTGAATCCTTTTTCCATTCCTCAAAGTAATTTTGAATATAATTAGGGTCTCTACTCTTCATCACTGCTTGCTTTACCTCTTCAAATGCTTCTTTGACTATACTCATCTTCTCAGCATAAGCAACTTTTTGAATTGATAGCAATAATTTTTCATTATCATCATCAGAATCAAAAAACTTTTTGTATGCAGTACATAAGTTTTGGGCAAGCATGTGCCAAATACAGAGCATTTTTTTTATTTTTGGAAAAACTTTATTTGCTACATTTTGAAGAGCTTTGGATTTATCTGAAACAAATACTTCTGAAGAACAAAAAAAAGCATTATAGACTGTTTCTTTTAACGTATTTAAAAACCATTCGTAGGTATATTCCTTTTCGTTTTCTACTCATGCTATTGCAATTTGGTATGTATTAAGAGATTTTGCTTTGCCAATATTATTAATACCAACAGAATTTATTAAAGGGAGCTTGTACAAATTTGTTTTATAAGTTGCATCAATGATTAGCACCTCCGGACATATAGCAGCATGACGCGCAGCTTCAATATAGGTAAAAAATAGGTTTTTCATACAACCATCTTTTGATAATAGATGGCGAACTACGTACTGGCATTCTTCTAACATCTGCAAAAGCTGCATAGTTGTATCATTATTTGAGCCTTTATTCAGAGCATTTCTAATTCTATCACGTTCATTAATGATATCTTTCATATACACAGTATTATGCTTCTATTGTATCATATCAGCAACTGACTGAATTGGTGCTTCACTTTTGAGCATCATATGAACTAGCTTCTTTTGTTCTGTATTAAGCTGTCAATGTTGAGAGAGGCAATGAACTTGTAACGGAAGGAGGAGTTCATGAGAATGCTAATCTTTATAAGATCGTACTATCCAAACATCAGCTTTCTCATCCAAAACAGCATACAAAGCAACAAGACAGCCTTGATGCTTTGTAAATTTAATCCTTTTCCTGGTTTCTTCAGTAATATTATGATTATTTATATACACGCTCCCTATTGTATATTGTAAAATAATATAAGGAGCTTGGCCACCTTTTTCATCATGTGACATTTTTGACGATGATATACTAAAAGCAAAACCTACTGCTTTAGCACCTTGTTGAGCAGCTTTCTTGAAACTTTCTACTATTTGGAATTTGTTACCAATTTCTGGAACTTGTAGTTGTGATGGCAATATAATTATAGATAGTTTATTTTATTTATTAATTTTTTTCTTCACTAAATTTAATCGTTTTATTTGAATTAATTAAAATTTTGAGTACTTAGTACGATCAGTCTTGTTTTTCAATAAAATGTTTATTCCAAATAAAAATAATAAGTATTTTTAAAAAATGGGATTTGTCTTTATATACGATTACTACTAATTTATTAATACTAAATTTATTTTTAGTGAGAAATTATGATGACATGATTTTGAACAATATATTTTGTTTTTTTTTTATAATTAGCTTAGCTGTAAAGAAAAAACCGGTAAAATGCTAATTAACTTTCCTTTACTGAATGTTAGAAACAGTATTTTCCTTTGCATCAATTCTTAAACACATGTGACAAATAGGATATAAGCTTTTCTTGAATAGTATTATTAAGATTTGCTACGTTTTGCAACTGCATTATAATCACTATACTATTTCTCTTTTTGGTTATATTCACCTTTCTACATGGGAAGCATTTATATACAGGTTTCAGAATTATCAATTAATAATCTTTAGTTTCTGACATTGATTATGATTCTTACAAATTTTTATTATGAGATGAAACAATTTTGATCATAATTTATTATAAGAAACAATTTAGACAATTTTAACATTGATCTAATTATATTGAGAATTAGTATAATTATCGAGGTTCAAAGTAATAATTTAATTAATAATTGTATAATTTGGCTGCTGCAAAGGGAAAGCCTGTAATTTTTTTTAATAAACAATTGCAGGTTTTACCTTTGCGATGCTTATCTAACAGATTTTTATTAGCTTTACAGTATACAAATTTAACATTCTAATATAATTTCTTATATACTATAAATCTTGAATGTTTATTAAATAAATTGCTTGAAACTTTTTAAGGGGAATATATTTATAAGTGGTCAGAAGTATATAGTTTAGGGCATTTTATTATCAAAATAATTTTCTTGTAGTTGTGT